GGTCTTGCTCTTGCTCAGGTTGGTCTTGAACTCCTGAACTCAAACAATCCTCTTGCCTGTTCCCAGAGTCCTAGGATTAATGACCGGAGCCATTATGCCCAGCCAATGTCTTGCTTTATTGGTCAGGTTGGTCTTAAACTCCTGGCCTCAAGTGTTCCTTCCTCCTCCGCCTCCTAAATTGCTGGGATTACAGAGGTGAACCGCCTTGTGCTGGCCACTTACAGTTTCTTTGAAGCTCCTGGATTCTTCCATTCAGTACACACCCATGGGAAGTACAGGATGAGGCCAAACAATTGAATACGGTGTCCTATGTGACCTGGCCATCTACTGGGAGAGGAGCGAGAAAGGGAGAAAATTCACGAGGAGAAAGGAAATGTAGTAAATACTAACATTGGAGGACTACAGGTAAAAGGCATATGAGACTTTTTATCTATTTTCGAGACAGAGTCTCAAGCTGTCACCCTGGGTAGAGTGCTATGACATCATAGCTCACAGCAACCTCAAACTCTTAGGCTTAAACGATTTTCTTGCCTCAGCCTCCCAAGTAGCTGGGACTACAGGCACCCACCACAATGACTGGCTGTTTTTTGTCTGTAGTTGTCATTGTTGTTTGGCAGCCTGGGGCTGGATTCAAACCTGCCAGCTCTGGTGTATGTGGCTGGCGAGCTGGTATGAGAATTTTTAAATACTTTTGTGACTTGTCATCTACAAAATTATTTCAAACTAAAAAGTTTAAAATGTACAAAGCAAACACTATTAAACAGAGAAAAATTAAAAGTAGGTGATTTCAAATTGGGTTTTATAGGCAACTTACAGAAATTGTACTTGTATTATTCGGCCACAAGGAAAAGTTTGAAGAAATTCCCCAAACCACCAAAACGTATATGCCATACTCATAGCCCATAATGTACTAAAAAGCTGATAAGCAAAAATTAAGCTTAAATTTAAAAATCCAAACTATACTCAAACTACTTATTCTTGACTCCTTTTAAATAATAACTGAATCAAAGAAAAAGTCCAAACTACATTTCCAAACTATTTAGAAAACAGTAATAGTGAATAAAACCTATGGGATGTGACCTAAACTATTGGCAGAGGAAAATTGATAGCATTAGGAACTGTGACTATCAATCAAGAAAGAATAACAAATTATGTATTGTTCTAGAAGTTAGAGCAAAAACTTCAAAAATACTAGAAGTCCAGGAGAAAGAATGCTCCCGCAGTGATCAGTTATCAAGCTGAGGCAGCATGTTCAGTGTGCCAATACCAAGGGGACGTATCTTCGAGACCAAGAGAGTTCTTCCTTTATAGAAGGGTGGGAGTGGGGAGGAAGGAATCAGATACTGTTATAAATTAAAAACTCAATGTTATGAAGGAGAAGTACAAAGTGCATTTCACTGTGGCTAGCGCAGTATCACTTAACAATACCCTCCATTCTGTCTCCCTTTCTTTTGACTCTTTCTGTCTGCCAGGATTCTTCAGTGTAAAGTTATTAATTTTTCCCTTTATGTTTTCTCATCCTCCTGTGTGCCATTCTCCAAGTTCCCTAAAGACACTGTTTTAGTTATTTGTGCCTCATCCTGAGCACAGTATTTTGCTTGGCATTCGGTAGCTAGAATCCAAGAATTTTAAAGAATCTTGTAAACTACTCTGTAAACTGTTATTAAGTAGACACTTTCCCAACCTGTAGATTGCCATTTGACTTCTATTTATAAAAAACACTTAAGAGGCTGTGCACAGTGGCTCACACCTGTAATCCTCTGTAAGCACTCTGAGAGGCCAAGGTGGGTGGATCGCTTGAGCTCAGGAGTTTGGAAGCAGCCTGAGCAAGAGTGAGACCCTTCTCTATTAAAAATGAAAAACTGAGGCAAGAGGATCACTTGAGCCCGAGAGTTTGAGGATGCTGTGAGCTGTGACACCAGGGCACTCTACCAAGGGTGACAGAGTGAGACTGTCTCAAAAAAACAAAACACTCTAGAAGAGAACCTAGGAACTATACATATATAACAATATTTAGGTCACTAACATTTACTAACATGGAACATAAAATAACTGCCATATAGCCTAGACAAGTTAGAAAACCATTTAAGCAGTATTTGGTTAACTGAAGTTCTAAAAGGGTGCTTTCTAGAAGGGGCAAAATCATACCTAACTCACCTTTAGAATGCTAATGAGTGAGATTCCCGGGTGGGTACTGGGGGAAGTAAGTTAATGTGATTTACTTTGATAAAGTCTTTTGGTAAAGGTTCACATTAAAGGCCTTTGGGGTGGGAATGTGATTGGAATGTCAAAGGGAGAATCAGGGGTGATGTGAGAGAACAAAAGTAAGAAAAGAGGTGGAAGCAATAAGGTAAGGATGAAATCGGGTCTAGGCCTTGTAGGCAATGGTAAGGACTTGAGATTGTACTGCCTTTGGAAGGTTTGGAGAATGCCATCTGATTTGTAGTTGTAAAGGATCTGATGTGAGGACAGACTAGAGTGGAATAAGAATAGAGGCTCTGACAAGTAGAAAGCTGTTGCAGTAAGTAGTGGAGGCCTGGATTACTAAGGTTAACAGTCACAGTAATGGGAAATGTTTCATCCAGAAGAACGCTGAAGGTAGAGGAACAGACTTACTCACAGTTGGATGTGTGGTGTGAGGGAGAGAGGGGAGTCGGGTAACTTACAGATTTTTTCCTGAACCGTTGAATGCATACAGTTATACTGATCTCCCTGCCTAGTCTAAGGTGTTGGGGTTGCATCCCAGAATCTATGTTTGAAAGGCAGAGAGCTCAGTTAGGAAGCTACTGCACTCTTTCTGGGAAAAGGAAAAGGAGCTGAATGTGGGCAGAGGCTGTTAAGTATGGAGAGGCATACACAGGGAACATTTACACAGTAGAAATCACCATTTAGGAGAATGCCATAGGTTATTTACTAAATTGAAGATCTTTTTTCCCCATAAACTCCACTTACTGGTGTATCCCCTGCACTCTACAGCAGTGTTTTTCAAACTTTCTCTCATAGCACACTTGAAACACTTAAATTATGTTGATTAAAAAAAAGAGTAAGTAAAAAGAATGTACTTACTGTGCTTTGAACTTATTTTGAAAATTAATCAATCATCTTTAAAAACTTTTGTCACACACCTAAGAGATCCTCTTACACGGCACACCAGTTGAAAAATCACTGCTCTAGAGCAAGGGTTACTTAAGACTTGTTTTGATATAGCTGTAGCACTAAGAATGTTTCTGACATTCTTAAGGGATAAAAAAAGAGGAAGAGGAATATACAACAGAGACCATATGTCACCCTGAACAGTTAAAATATTTACTATCTGGGTCTTTACAGTGAAAAGTTCACCAATCTCTGTCCTAGATCAGTGGGTCATAAAGTGGTTTCTAGAGCAGCAGTAGCAGCATTAACTGAGAACTTGATGGAAATGCAAATTCTCAGCCTTCCACACAGATCTGCTGAATCAGAGACTTTGGGAGTGGGGCCCAGCAACTTGTTTTAACATGCCCTCTAATTCTAAAGCACTTTTCAGTCTGAGAACCACTGCTCTAGAGTAACTTTCACATCAACGAACCAGGATACAAGATGAGGGATGTTTGTAACAGCATTGCAGATAAAAGCCCCAAACTGAAAACAGTTGAAATGTTAATCAGCAGTACAGAAGATACTTAAATCCCAGCTCCAGGAGATAGTAGCTGTGTGTCCTGAGGTAAGTTACTTGACTTCTCTAAGCCTGTTTCCTCATCTATAAAATGGGCACAAAAATAGCAACAACCTCATAGGGATACCATAAGGCTTAAACTATTAAAGTAATTACAAGAATGCCTGGTACATAAATATTAGATTTAAAGGACAATCTGTACATAAATTATTGTGATGCTTTGGGGAAAAATATTTCAGGTTCATTTTTTGAAAGTGATGGTCTGCCCATATATTTTGTATCTAACAAAATGAGTAAGCAGATTAAGGTATACATGGTAACTATAACAGAGTTTGGAGGGCACTGCCTCTGTGAACCCGTCTTCACGTGTGTAAAATACCTTTAAATTGCCGATATAGGATTGTGAAGAAAACTGATGAAATGTATATGCCTCCATCCGTCATGTTTGATACATAAGAATTCATTAATAAATGTGCTCTTTCCTTTCCCAATTCCCCTTCCATTTTTTTCAACGTTTCCTCAATCCTTCGTTCCACAACACTGTGGTTTCTTGATATTCCCTGAAACTATTGTCAAACCCAAGGTGCAAAGTGGCTTCCTTGACTACCAAGATTAGTTTTTTTCCTTGAATCAAGGTCAGAGAGTCAGTTACTGCCACAGCTATGCCCCGGGGGCAGGTTTGGGCCTAGATCTAGGACAGGACTGTAATCCAGATATTTCAAGCCTTTTAGCTTAAGTTAGTATGCTAAATGCTTATTACGTATTTAGCGGTTCTTAAACTCGTAATAGGCACACAAAGACAACACCCCCCCCCCACACACACACACACAGTAGAGACCATGTCATATTCTTTATATACCCCAGGGCCTAACACCCAGGCCTGTATTACTGCTTTAAGATATTAGGATGAATATGACTAGGCTAAGTTAATAAACAACAGAGGTGAGTTTAATATGTAAAAAGCTGAAACCACTGGCTGCAGTTTAGGTTCGTCTAGAGCAGCAAACTGCAGACACCTAGTTCCGAAAGATTACTTAATTACCTCCCTCTTAATAATCAAAAGGGACCAGAAATATCCGTCTTCAAGACATAGCGCTGCGGCGAGCCGGCTCTTGCCCCCGCGATCTATTAAGGGCGGCGAGGCTGGAGCCTCAGGGCAGGAGAAAAGCAGCCTCCTTGTGACGTCAAATCAGCGGACTCTCGTCTCGGCTCCAGGCCGGTTCCGGTTCCCCGGCTTTCCGGCCGCGAGACTGCGAGCGCGGCGGCGTACTGCGCGTGCTCCGCAGAGGGACGCGAGAAGGTTGGATCCGGCTCCCGGAGGAGATGCTTGATTGGCTGATGCCGTGCTGGGGGGTTCCCTGGCCCTTTCGGCAGGGGTAAAACAATAAGAGGGGGCGGCGGCAAAGGGGGCGGGACGTCCGTGGTCCTAGTCGCTCGCGGCAGCGCCTGGTGCCCGGGAAGAGGTGGTTGTGGGGGTTAGGGAGCTCGCGGCTCTCCGGCTCCGAGGCTTCCCGTCTGTCGGAGGGAGGGGGCGACCAGTGAGAAGAACCCGCCGTAGCCGGTCCTCGGCGACTCTCCTGCTGACCTCCGCGCGACGTACCCGCCGCCGCTGTTGGTTGGAGGTGTGTACGGGGGCCGGGAAGGGAGACCGGTGTGGTGGTCGGTAGGGGACATTCCCTTCGCGCTCCGCGGTTCGAGGCAACCGTCCTGTGTGCGAGCCCTGGTGTCGGAGGTATAGTGGCTGAGACATTGTTCTTGGAGGCTGCCTGCGCTGCCGTGTGCGGGAGAGAGAACCGAGCCTTTCCTCTCAGGTGAGGGACGGGAGGCCGCCCGGCCAGGAAGGTGACCAGCGCGCGCCGAGCGGACGGAGGGCTCCGGGGGCAGCGGCGCGGCTGGTGTCTGTGAGAACGAGGTGGCGAGGCGAGGGAACGCAGCAGTTCCCGACGGCGCACTAGTGGAAGCTCGACACAGGAAGTGGGGGAGTGGGCTTTCAGGGAGGGCGTCGAGGGCAGGGAGCCTGCTGGCCTGGTCCCCGGCTCGGTCGCGGTTCTTTCGGAGCCGGGAGGCCGTCGCCGCCCCGCCCGTGGGGGAGGGGAAAGAGGCTGTGTCGGCGGAGGCAGAAGCGACGCAGATGCGAAAGTAGCGGCCTCCGGGCACCATTTGTGTGCGCGGAAACAATCCGGTTTTGAAGGCAGCCGCCGCTGCGCTCACCTAGTACCCAGTTCCGGCGGCTGTGATTACCCCCCTCCCGTTTTATCCTTAAGTGTTCGGATGCCGGGGCTGTGACGTGCTCCTTCTTCGTCTCCCTTCTTATGCAGCCAACCCCATATTTACCCTGAAAGCAGAGATGTTTTAGAGTTTTGGGGAATAGGTTTTTTTTTCCTCCTCCCCGCTGTTTTGGGTCAGAGGTGGGAGAGGAACATAAAGCCTCCCTGGATTGTGTGGATTGTTAGTCGAATCTGATCAAATTTTTCCTGCGTCTCCAAAAGCAGATATCCTAAGGTGGCCCTAATGCCGCTTTAGGGCAAATGGAGTTTGCGTCTGTAATTTTCCGCATAGATCAATTTTTTTTCTCCAGAATATACCTTATTTTTTAAACTGGTTTTTATTGTAAGTGCTTTTGCCTTTGAAAAGAAAAGCACGTGCACTTCTAGGTGGAATAGCGAAGTGGTCTGCCTTTTCTCCCTAGATGACAGTTATTAATTTGAGTTTTAACATAACTGATTTTTAGTTAGGAACAAGGTTCCATACCTCGTTCTAGTAGTCCAGATGTTAGCACTGCAAGTACCTGGATCTGGGAACCATTAACTGCAGTTAAGGGAGCCTGCGTGCTAGGCTGGAAGATGATGGCAGTTCCTTGTCCAGCTCCATATTTGGCAGTTAATAGCCTTCGGCATGTGAACAAAGTTTCTGAGTAAACATTTGGTTGTGTTAGTATCCAGTGGTCCTTTGGTGTCCAAGATTCCTGCTGGTATCTAAGATTCCTGATCTTAAAAAATAGAAGGTATGGTGAGTTTGAACCTCTTAGGATTGAGTTATGTATTCTATTTTTAGTGGTATCATCTTACATTTTTCTTAAAATTTTAGAGTTAGTCATATGTGTCCTTCTGCTCCCATTTAATCTCTACAAGCTTTTTAATTCTGAAAACCTATCAAGGTATATTGTAAGGTAAGAAGGACCTGGACCCCAAGTGGATTGCTTACTAAGAGCTGTGGTGGATCAGATTGTTGAATATTCAGGGTTGAAGTATTAGTAATGATGAAAAAGCATTAAGAATAACATTAAGAGTGGAGTGAACCAGAATGCTTGTGGAATGGATGGGGATCAGAAGTAGAACGTACAGGTCCATTGGTAATTTTATAGTCAGACTAACTGGCTAACCTAAGTGCAGTTAGCAGCTGAGCAATTGGAATTGTTGGCAGGCAACTCTTGGTTTGAAGAAAGTGTTTGCACTGTTGGTAGCAGGAAATAGTTATCCATATTTGGTTGTAAAAGCTTAAAAATCAAAATTTCTGTGTCAGTTACTGAAAAATTACAAATGTTAATAGTGTCTTTAGATTCTTACCAGCTTCTTCATCCTGAAGAATTATTATTACCCATTATCGGGATTGAATTTTTTTTTCCTAGATTGCTTTAAAAAGACTTTTTTCACATATCTTGAATGGATATGGATACAGTGAATGATTCCTTTTCAGTGCTGGTTTTAAGAAGCACAAGCTTAGGGTTGCTTCTGAACTTAAATTCAGTAGAATTTAATTGACAGACGTAACCTACTGGTAGACACTTGTTTAATACTTGATGGAATAAATGGAGTTCTAGATCTCCTGGCCTGCCTTCAGAAGCAGTTGAATCAATTTCTGGACTACTGTTTCAAATTATTTTTATTTTCTGATTTCCAAATATTTTACCCTATTTTGATGCCATGGTAGGCATGTTGGTTATATTTCTTTGCTTTTTACACTGCCTAACAGCTTCAAATAAATTCACAGTTGGATTTTTAAAATGAACTTTGTGTGTTCTTGGTTCCTTGGCTGCTCTTCTAAAGCATTTCTTAACCAGGTGTAATGAAGACATCACTGGAGGCAGGAAACCTGATATCAGATATTCTGTCTTGTAACTCTGAGGGACCTTGAACTCCTTTACTTAGGCTTTTTTTTTTTTTTTTTTTTTT